GCTTCTCCTTCTCGGGGGCTCTCATGGCGGGGTGCGCCATCCAGCCGTCCCTGGGCAGCTCTCATGGGACCTTCCGCGAGTTCTCCAGGGCCGTCAGCAGCACTGGGGGACGAGCACCCACCGCCTCTCACCACCCCCAGCTCCACACGGGGCAGCAAGGGGAGCCCATGGTCCCCCCTCGCCCCCCGGCTGGGCCAGCGCTAGGGAGGCGAGTATCTCTCTATGGTCCGGGCAGCCTCGGCGTGGAGGTGCGGAGCCTGCGCCAGCACCTCGGCCGCCTTGTCCTGGCTCAGCCCCAGGTGCTCAGCCGTGAACTTGGCCAGAGGGTAGAGGCTCTCCATGGCCTTGGGGTCGCTGAGGAAGTGCGAGGTGTGGGAGAGCAGTTCGGCCGCCTTCTCCTGCTTGAGCCCCAGCTGGTCGGCGGTGAGGCGGGCCATGGCGTAGACGCTGTCGGGAAAGTCCAGCTTGGCTTTGCCATCCGGGCCGGCCGCGTGCATCTTCATGTGGCTGATGAGGTTGCGCTGCTGGGCGAACTTCCCGACGCCCACCTGGCACTCGTAGGGCTTCTCGCCCGAGTGGATGCGCATGTGCTCGGTCAGGCGGTACTGGCGGGTGAAGCGCATCCCGCACGCGTCGCAGGCGAAGGGCTTGAGGCCCAGGTGGCTGCGCATGTGGCGGGTCATGGTGCCGCGCTGCGTGAACTTCTTGCCGCAGATGGTGCAGGGGTACGTCCAGCCGGTTCGTCTTCTCGTGCTGCCGCAGCGTGGCTGGGTCCTTGTAGGATTTGTCACAGGAGGAGCAGCGGTACGGCCGCAGGATGTCACCAAGCCCCGCGCCACCCTTGTCCAGGAAGGGCACAGCCTGCTCGGCCGCTGCCTTGTGGTAGAGCTCCTCTTCATTGTGGGCCTCCACATGGGCGTTGAGCTGCTCGGAGCTGGGGAAGCCCTTCCCACAGGGGATGCAGACGTACAGGTTGTCGCCCAGGCTCTCCGGCTCGTAGCCCAGGTGGTTGCAGTAGCGGTCCAGCGCGTCGCCGGGTGAGGGGCCCTCGCTGCTGCCCGTCTCCTCGCTCGTGCTGTTATCAGGAAACTCCCCCCGCTGGGGTAGCGGGGCTGCGGCGCCGCGGGGGGTGACTCAGCCTTTTCCTCCCGCTCCAACTCCTTCTCAGCCTCCCCCTCATCCAGGTAGGGGCCCAGGGGCTCGTGCTTCATCCAGCGGTACATCAGCTCACGCCCGTCAGCGCGGGACAGGGGGGGCTCAACGCAGGGCGGTGTGCTGCGGAAGGGGTCGGGGGCGTGGGGGTGACCCCCCGGCTCGCCCCCCGGAGGGGAGTCCTTGTAGGCAGCGGGAGGGGCGGGCAA